ACCTTTCGTTTTTGGTCGTTTAGTGAAAACCATGCGAAACGGCGTAAACTTGGCTAGCCGTGGTTTTCAACTAAATGACGTGGTTTTCAAAATGTTTTACTTGATTTCTTAGCAAAATACAATAAACAAACATTTTCAATACTTGGTTTTTATTTTGGAGAACTTACATTTTTGACATCGGCTAACGGCTGACTAAACCAACCATGGGTCTGGCTAAACCAGCCCAACAGCGATGTTGGTGAAACCAACAGCGCTGTCTGGCTTGGGTGGCTGAAAACCATGGTTTGGCGTTAAGTCTTCCAACAGCGATGTTGGATGTTAGACATCGCTGTTGAGCCAAGGTTGGATTTCCAGAAACTTCTGGAACAGCGATGTAGGCTTCCCTACAGCGCTGTCCAACCTAAGCCAAAAATACAGTGCATTGGCAGAAAGTTTTTGGACAGCGATGTTGACCCAGCAACAGCGCTGTCAGGCCAAACTTCCATCTTCAAAAGTCAGACCTAAACAGCGATGTTCAAGTAATGAACATCGATGTAGGGACCTGACCGTTGGAAGAAATTTAAGGCTAAAACTTTCCTTGTTTGGAAGTCAACAGCCAAAACAGCGATGTAGGGGTATTGGACATCGCTGTTGGCATGACCGTTGCTTCCCTATTTTTAAAAACCAAGCCTAGAACAGCGATGTCCAAGCCTAGGACAGCGCTGTCTGGGTGAATTTCAGCAGATCCAAATTTAATCAAATCCCACAAATTGTGCCAATCACCCCTTAAATGTTTTGGTCCGTTGGAGCCTATTTTTCCACTATAAAATGGGGTGTTTGGGTCTGTTTTAATAATGACATAACTTCACAACTTCTACTCTTTCATTGCAAATCATTCATCACTTTTTCATAGCTTTTTGAGAGCCATTTTTGTGAAGCTTGTGTTGCGTTCTTGAGCGTACTTAGTTACTCATTATCCACTCTAAAAGAGAGTATTGTTCTTGAGAGTTTTTTTGTGTTCTTAGACACTTGACAAGAGAAAGTATTTCTCTTGTTGTTCGAAGGAAGGGTTGTTTCCTTCGAAGGTTTGTTGAGGTTCGTGTGACTCGAACTCTCAAGTTGTACGGGTTTGTTAAGAACCGTTAAGCTTAACGAGATAGTAGTGTAGCTCGAGAGAGTCTCTCGGGAGGCTGGATTAGCCACAAGTTGTGGTGAACCAGGGTAAAATCGGTGTGCCTCTTACTCTTCTCTTTACTTCTCGTTTATTCATTTATATTCCTGCGATTTTTGATCAAACGCTATTCACCCCCCCTCTAGCGTTGGTCTTTTATTCTAACAAGTGGGAGGAAGTTACGTAAATATGGTGAGGCGTAGGGGTTGGGGCGTGTAGGGAGTGTATTTATACTTTTGGGGTTTTGGGCTCCGTATTACTAAACGTACATGGCCCAAACGCACTTTCCGGGCCCACTGACTCCAAATCAAAATCCGCTTTCACCGTTAGATTCGGTCCGTCAAACCCTACACAACGGTATAATCTTTGTTGTCAAACGAAAGATATTTATATATTTTTTTAATTTTCCTCCGCGTCCGTCTCCATAACTAGTTAATTCTTTCTAATTAATTAATTCGGTTAGGCCGGGTTTCGGGGCGTTACATTTCTCTCCCCCTTAAAAGAATTTCGTCCACGAAATTTACCTGAGTCATTGGTCACTGAAGAGTTGAGGATACTGAGCTCTCATGGACTCCTCGGTTTCCCAGGTTGCTTCTTCCACTGCATGGTTCTGCCAAAGCACCTTGACCAAGGGAACTGTCTTGTTCCTCAGTTCCTTTACTTCGCGTGCCAAGATCTGTATGGGTTCTTCCTCGTAGGTAAGACTCTCATCGAGGGTGACTGCGCCCTCGGGCAGGACATGTGACGGATCAGACTGATATCTCCTCAGCATAGATATGTGGAATACATCGTGAATCTTCTGCAGTTCCGGAGGTAACTCCAAACGATAAACCACTAGTCCTACGCGTTCAATGACCCGATACGGTCCAATGAACCTAGGACTCAACTTTCCTTTCTTGCCAAATCTCAACACTTTCTTCCATGAAGAAACCTTGAGAAACACCCAATCATCCACGTTGTACTCAATCTCCCTACGCTTGAGATCAGCGTAGGACTTCTGACGATCCGAGGCAATTCGCAATCTATCTCGTATAATGCGGACCTTCTCTTCCGCCTCACGAACCAGGTCGGGTCCTTCCAACTTAGTTTCGCTCAGCTCGGTCCAACAGACTGGAGTTCTACAACGTCGGCCATACAGTGCCTCGTACGGGGCCATCTGTATACTAGCCTGATAACTGTTGTTGTAGGCAAACTCCATCAACGGCACGTATGGTTCCCAACCATCATCGAAATCGATGACACAAGCTCTCATCATGTCTGAGGGTGGAATGCTGTGCTGAAATTGAGCTTAGTGCCAAGAGCCTTCTGAAGACTCTTCCAAAACTGTGATGTGAAACGCGGGTCTCAATCTGAGATGATAGACACTAGCACTCCATGGAGTCTCATAATTTCTCGAACATATAGCTCCGCCAACTTCTGCAGGGAAAATTCTCGTCTAATCGGGAGGAAGTGAGCAGATTTAGTCAGTCGGTCCACTATGACCCACACTGCATCATTCTTCTTATTTGACAGGGGTAATCCTATCACGAAATCCATCGTGATCCTCTCCCACTTCCACTCAGGAATGGCTGGTGGGTGTAGCAACCCCCTCGGCACTTGATGCTTTGCCTTGACCTGTTGACAGGTCAGGCACTTAGCCTAAACTCTAAAATTTCTCGCTTCATCGTCGGCCACCAGTAAGTCTTCTTGAGGTCTTGGTACATCTTGTTGCTACCTGGGTGCATGGTGTACACGGTTTCATGAGCTTCCCGTAGCAGCCGTTCTCTCACTTCGCCGTTCGGTACCACCAAGCGATCCCTAAAGAGCAGCCCTCCATTGTCATCAATGGTGAAGTCTTGTCTCTCCCCCTTGCAGACAAGCTCACGAGTCTTCGCACAAAATTCATCCGTAGTCTAGGCCGTACGGGTCTCGCCGTTCAGCGTCGGCTGGAGTCTTAGTCCAGCCATAGTCTTCCGACTCAAGGCATCAGCCACAACGTTGGCCTTACCTGGGTGATAGTCGATATAGCAATCGTAGTCCTTGATCAACTCCAACCACCTCCGTTGCCTCAAATTCAGCTCTTTCTGGGTTAGCAAGTACTTCAGGCTTTTGTGATCTGTGTGAATGTAGGTGGTCTCGCCAAAAAGATAGTGCCGCCAAATCTTCAATGCGAATACCACTGCTGCTAACTCCAAGTCATGTGTCGGATAATTACCCTCGTGAGGTTTCAACTGTCGGGAGGCATAGGCCACAACCTTACCCTCCTGCATAAGAACACATCCAAGTCCACTGTGCGATGCATCACCAAAAACTGTGTAATCCTTGCCAGACACTGGCTGCACTAGCACCGGTGCCTCTGTCAGGCACTTCTTGAGTTTCTCAAAACTCTGTTGACATGCGTCTGTCCATGCGAATTTCACCTCCTTCTTCAGTAGCTTATTTAACGGCGACGCTATGGATGAGAAGCCCTCCACAAAGCGCCGATAATACCCAGCTAAGCCGAGGAAGCTCCTCACCTCTCGTGCATTCCTCGGAGTCTTCCACTCCGTTATCGCTGATATTTTGCTAGGGTCCACCTTGATGCCCTCGTGGGAGATCACATGCCCAAGGAACGTGACCTCATCGAGCCAAAACTCACACTTTGACAGCTTGGCATACAGCTTGTGCTCCCTTAGCACACCAAGTACTGTCTGCAAGTGTTTCGCATGCTCCTCTGGTGTCCTAGAATACACCAAGATGTCGTCGATGAACACTACTACGAACTGGTCTAGGTACGGACGGAAGACACTATTCATAAAGTCCATGAAGATTGCCGAGGCATTCGTTAGCCCGAACGGCATTACCGTGAACTCATATTGTCCATAACGTGTTCGAAAGGCTGTCTTCGGTAATGTAATACCCCGTATCAAGATGGGAATGGGAAGAGCTCAAAAGGATTGATAGCACTACTCATACCAACAAGGTGCATCTTCTTTTCGAACCTAGAAACTCCAAAGTTAAGCGTGCTTGACCTGGAGAAATTTTAGGGTGGGTGACCCCCTGGGAAATTCCTTGGGCGCGCATGAGTGAGGACAAAGTGCGCGGGAAAGACGTGTGTTGGTTTGTGGGGCCAGTCTACAATCCTATGAGCAGACACTTACGGCTAGGGTGGGGGCCGGGGTGTTACAAAGATGATGCTAGTTCTGTTGCTACCATAAGAGCTAAAAATCCAGAGAAGTCAGCCTCTGATTTCAAGGAATGTGTCTTTGACTTCAAGAATGGTTAGAGACCGCTGAACGTGTTACGACCCTGATGACTTTCTTGAATGGTTAGAGAATGGTTAGGGCTGGGGTGTTACGACCCTGATGACTTTCTTGAATGGTTAGAGACCTTTGAACGTGTCTTTGACTTCAAGAATGTGTCCGAAGAGAAGAAGGTCAAACTCGTGGCCTTAAAGTTCAGAAAGTATGCGTCAACATGGTGGACCAACGTCACCATTAGGCGTAGAAGAGAAAACAAGTCCCCGGTGACCTCGTGGAACAAGATGCAAGCACTCTTGAAGAAGAAGTTTCTGCCCGAGAACTACATACGAGAAAAATTTTCTAAGCTTCAACACTTGAGGCAAGGCTCTCGTTCTATAGAGGAATACAACCGAGAGTTCGAGGAACTCTTATTAAGGTGTGATCTTCAAGAAGATGATTCACAAACTTTTGTGAGGTATCTATTTGGATTGAATGTCCAAATAGCTAATACTGTGGAACTTCAAGACTACCACACTCTTGACGATCTTACAAAGCTGGCTCTCAAAGTTGAAAGCCAAATCAAGAAAGGCAAGGCTGCCCAAATGAGAATCTCCTCTTCAAATCCACCTTTGCTCCCCACCCCTTCATCTCCTTCACCTTCCCCAGCTCCTTCCTCTCACCATAAGCCCATACTTCCAACCCTCCCTCAAATATACAAAATCAACCCCGGCACAATCAAAATATCAATTGAACTCTGAAATGTTATCGTTGCTAAGGGAATGGTCACATAGCTCAAGATTGTCCCAATAAGAAGGTCATGACTCTTGTGGAGTGCAATGATGATACTTTTGAGCCTTCATGGGATAAAGAAGAAGAAGAGTATGTCGGACCTGATGATGGAGAGCTTTTGGTCATTCGTAGAACTTTAAGTGCGATGGCCTGTCCAAAAGAAGAAATACAACGAGAGAATATCTTCCATACTCGTTGTACAATCAAAGAAAAGGTGTGCTCTCTCATCATTGATAGTGGGAGTTGTACGAATTTTGCCTCTAAGACTATGGTGGATAAACTCCAGCTGAAAACTTCACCACACCCGACACCATACACGATTCAATGGATGAATCATGGTAAAGGGTTACGTGTTGACACTCAATGCTTGGTGTCACTAAGTCTTGGACAAACCTACAAGGATGAAATATGGTGTGATGTGATACCGATGGATGCTTGTCATGTGCTGCTCGGACGACCTTGGTTGTTCGATCACAGGGTTCTTTACGATGGATACGCTAACACGTATTCATTCCTCAAAGACAATAAGAGAATCACCCTTACTTCTCTTCATCCTGAAGAAAAATCTCCCGTTCATCTGTCAACATTGATACGAGCTGGTAAATCTGAATACATAGATGAAACTCGTCGTGAGACGATAACAACGACTCAAGTCAACCAGCATGTTTGTGGGAACGTGAATGTAAACACGAGAGACCTCAATGATCAATCCAAGCTAATTTATACTCCGAGTTTGAGGTCAAACTCTCTTGAAGACGGGGAAGATGTTGTACCCCACCATGCATCACCAAAGGGTAAGCAAAATCAGGAGTTAATGCTTAAGTGTTATAATCCTTATTGGGTTGAATTCATTCCTTTTTCCCATAAAAAAGCCCAACCAATAACCCTTGCTGCCCAAAACCCCCCCTAAGCCAAACCATAACCCACAAACCCTCTCCCACAACATCCAAAATCATTTTATCTGCCCAAAATAAAGTCTTTGTTATTCATTACTAAGCCTAGGCCAAAGGTGAACAACAAAAGGCAAAATAAAACCTTTGTTTGTTTTTCTTAGACATTATAATCGATTATTCAACATAGATAATAGACTATTGCTTCCCTCTGAATTCTCCTAACATAGTCCAGCAATGCTTCATAATCGATTATCTCCCAATTGATAATCGATTAACACTCATCTCTGAAAATATCCGGTTTGATGAACCAGTCCTTGTTAATCGATTATTCCTGAAGAGTTAATCGACTATTTGACACCTCTGAAAATTCTGGGTTTAGAAAACATATCTTATTAATCGATTATCAGTAGACGATAATCGATTATCACACAACTCTGAACTCAGAAATCAGTAAAACGGTCATTGATTGAACAGTAAGTGTTTTGTCATTTAGGAACAAACTTGGCCATACACCATGGACGAAATTCCCATGTTATTATTCAACAAAATCAAAGACTTTTACAATACAAAACAAAGCTTAATCCTTCATCCATGTGCCTGCCCAAAAAGTCTTTGATTGAATAGTAATATCTTGTCCTATTACTCACTAAAAGTCAAGCCATGTTGTTTCCTTTATTCTCCCACCTTAAGGACGAAAATCATACATTAAGACCACCCAAAATACATGCAAAATCCCTGATCATTAGCCTTGAATTCAACTCATTTGAGATATTAACACATGCTAGCATTTGTTTTGTTTTGTAGGAAAGAAGTGGGAAGTTTCCTTTGTTTTCAGCCCGGGTTCATTGTATTAATCAGCTTGTAAAATATATTGTGATAATATAAGTTTCTTGCTCAGTTCTCTCTCTAACTTCTATATATATAAAATAGAAGTTGAGTGATTCCTTATTTAAATACTAGAGTGGTTCTCTTAAGTGGGAGTTTTAGGTTCTAGATATATTAAATAAGTTGAGTGATTCCTTATTTAAATACTAGAGTTTAACCCGAGTGAAGATAAGTGTGTGTGATTCCTCTTATTATTCACTTGACAAATGCTTCTTTCCCTCTACTATACTTTGTTTCCTCCTGAATTTAGCCTCCCCTATATTTCTACTTCCATAATTTCTCCATTTATTCTTGATTTGGGTCTGTACTCAGGTTCCCAATCAAGACCACACAAAAAGTCAACATATTTGTTTTATCTCTATGAGATTTATCCATATTGTGATAATGGATATCAAGACATATTTCGTATCGGCCCAAGGCCCAACAACAATTTATTTTAATCAAAACAAATTTGTTTAATTGAATAATTATTTATTAATAATTCTAGGGTATGTTTTGGGGCGTTACATTTCTCCCCCCCCTAAAGGAACTTCGTCCTCGAAATTCTTTTAAGGTCCATAATTGTCATCATGACTGCGTCTCGTTCATATGGTTACATCATTATCTTACAGATACGCATTCTCAACCGTTGATATCACTAAACGCGTTCAACATTCGAGAGTTTAACAAACTTTGATTAAGCAAAGCATTCACTGATCTTTTGGTATTGATGACTAAAGTTCCTTCATAGTGTATAGTATTGCATACTTGACATATTTCTACATAACTTCGTTCGGTCATGAGTCTCGTTTGTACGTCATTGGTTAACAGAATCGATTCAAACTTTCTTCAATACCTTTAGAAGGTTTTTTTTGGGAATTTGAAGGTTGTTTCAATTCATACGTTGTAACGTAATTTTTTTTCCCAGGTTACTCAAGGGGTCGTTGTCTTAGGGCAATAGCCATAATGACTTTTCGTCTCTAGTTTGAATGTATTCAAGGACAGCGAATCTAACTGTTCATGAGTCTCAATAAATCATATCGTTAGCAGACTGTAGTATTAGCGAACACGTCATTGTCAGTAGGTAAATTGAATCCATCTTTGCTGTACAAATTTCGACTGAGGATACTTCCCTTTGTCTCAAAGGTCAGGTTTCAGGGCCTATATCATTAGAATAAGTGACCAACGCTAGAGGGGGGTGAATAGCGTTTGATCCTAGAAATCGCAGGAATAAAAAAATCAAGAACGTGAAAGGTAAAGAGCGTAGAAAGCGTAAAGGGAGCACACCAAGATTTATACTGGTTCACCTTAACGTGTGGCTAATCTAGTCTCCCGAGAGACTCTCTCGAGCTTCACTACTTCTGTTAAGCTTACGGGTGCTTAACAAACCGTTACAACCTGAGAACTCGAGTCCCACGAGCCTCAACGACACTTGCTCAGAGATACCACACTCCAAGACTTCAACCCGAAGGATAATACCTTTCCTTCGTACAACCAAGGGAAACAAGCTTCCCTTAACGTGTATACAACAGTAAGACACTCAAGAACAAGACTCTCCTTAAGAGTGGATATTGAGTAAAATATAAACACTCAAGAACAACTCAAACTTCACACAAGTTGGCTCTAGAAAGCTATGGAAAATAATGTGGTTTGGATGCAATGATAATATGAATATTGTGAAGTGAATTGATGTGAAAAGCAGACCCAAACACCCCTTTTTATAGTGCCAAAATAGGCTCCAACGGACCAATACATTAAAGGGGTGATTGGCTTGATTTATGGGATTGAATAAATTTGGGATCTGCAGGATATTGGCTTCCCATCGATGTTTGGACTTACCCATCACTGGTAAGCCGTAAGCCAATTTTCCTTCAGTTTTGAAGCCAACGGTCACCTACCCATCGATGGGTACAAGCTTCCCATCGCTGGGTGGGAGGTTGACTTCCAAACAAGGAAAGAATCAACCTTAAATGACTTCCAACGGTCATGCCTTCCCATGGCTGGGTAATATCCTCCCATTGCTGTGAAGTCACTTACCCATGGATGGGTAATATCTCCCATCGCTGGGTAAGGGCATTCTGCCTTGTGATAATGTTGTACCAAGGCTTGAACAGCGATGGGTAGAGCTTCCCATCGCTGTTTGGCATGGTTCTGGAATTCAATTGGGCTGAAGGCTGCTTACCCATCGCTGGGTGGCATGATTCTGGAATCCCGGGATCACTTACCCATGGATGGGTGATATCTACCATCCCTGGGTAAATGGCTAGCCCAGAACCATGGCCTAGCTGACTGGCGCTGAAACCCGACCGAAAAATGTAAAGTTCTCCAAAGTAAAAACTAAGTAGATAAAACACTTATTTAATGTATTTTGATGTCAAAACAAGCTTTATAAGTTGAAAACCACGTTGTTAAGGTAAAAACCACGGTTGACCAAGTCAACACCGTACACGGGTGGTTTTCACCAAAAGACAAAACCGAAAGGTGGTTTTCATAATGTTTTGATTGGAGAACCATTTAAATGCATTCAAAAACAATTCCCACACAAAATGAATCGAAAAACACTTCATTTAAGTAAAAACCACGGCTAGCCAAGTTTATGCCATTTCGCATGGTTTTTATCAAACGACAAAAAATGAAAGATGGTTTTTGAAGTGTTTTTGATGGAAAACTATTTAAATGTTCCCAGAAGTAAAAACCAATCATAAAAATTTGAAAACCACTTGGTTAGTTCGGACGCCAAAAACCAACGCCGAAAACCAAATGCCGAACGCCGGTTTTTGAAACCCAAACGCCGGATGGCTTGGTTTTTGGTTTGGGCGAACGCCAAGTGCTTTTAATGTTTTAAGCATGTTTGAAAAATATTTTTATGATGTTTGAAATTCAATGAAAAGAATTTTAGCCTAAAGAGCCAAGGTGTAAAGGTTGGGTCGGTCTTGATCACAATTGTGACCGACTCAACGACACTAAGACTACGGTCTTCGTTCTTGGTCTTCTTTTGGCCCTTGTTCTCTTTCTTCTCATCTTTGGTTCTCGCCTTGTATATTCAATGACTTGTCTTGTTCACGGCAGTTTGGCATTATCAAAACCTATCATAACAACGAACACGGCTTTAGTACGAAAACGTGATAAACCCGTGTTTCAACAATTTTCCCCTTTTTGATAATGGCAAACAAGACGGGGTTATGCATAGGAGGATTGATTTGAGACTTAAAAAATGTTTCCCCCTTAATAAATGCAATTTTCTTTTCAACAAAGTTTATGTGTTGAATAAGAGTTAGTTTTAGAAAAAGTTCCCCCTTAATCTATGCATAATCTTTATATCTTCCCCCTTTTGACATTAACAAAAAGAATTAAAAGTAAACTTTTATTCATTAAAAGAGAAATGCAGAATACACCGGATAAAAATACAATCATATTTAATAAGGAGAAAATAAAGAAGATGTCGTGGCGTCGGTGTTGGCCTTCTTCTTTGAAGCCTCGGTTTTGGTCCTTGACTTTCTCTGGCCATTGTTGAAGCGTTTAGAAAGTGAGTAGAGGCTTAAAGTATGCAAGAGGTATGTGAATTGTGTGTTAAAAATGACCAAGGATGGTTAATATTTATAGGAAAAGAGAATTTGGGCCCTTGGTGTTCAAAAATATGGCTGTTGGGCATTGAATGAGGTGCCCAACGGCCATGATTTTTGAACTGCAATAGGCTTCCCAACGATGGTAAGGTTCTCCCATCGATGGGAAGATAGGTATTGGAAAGGGAGGAAAAAGTGAAGGCAGTCTTCCCAGCGATGGTAAGGTTCTCCCATCCATGGGAAGACAGCTACTGGAAATCCGTTAAAAAAATTTTTTTTAAAAAAGTGTCAAACACCCAGTGATGGGAAGAAGTTCCCATCGATGGGAAGAGGGCTGCTGGTTAGAAAATACTTCCTTCCCAGCGATGGGATAAACCACCCATCCCTGAGTTCCTCACTTTGATACGTACCTGCAAAAAAGCAACACTTTGGTACCCAAAGTATGTCTATGGGTCCTTGGGGGTTAGTTAACCTTTATTGCCCACACACACACCCCAAATTCGTTTCCTTACACGCACGCACACACACACATGATTAGATGATCGTTTAGGAATTACCTTGGCCAACCCATGATCTCGTGGTTGGCGGATTCCAGTCTACCTGAACAGAGTGCCGATATCTCAGTGTGATTTTTGTTGGTTCCAGTAACGGAATGTGGACTTTATTCTTTTCGTCAAAGTAGAAGAAATAGTAAGGTTTCTTTTGTGCATTATCCTGTGGAGATGATTTATGATACGAATATCCTTTTCAAAAGGATTTCTTTTCGTTAGCACCAAATATGTTGTGTGTTTCATTATAGGTGAAGTGCTATGTCTGGTAAAACACACAGGAGCTATATGTCCTACCCTATTGCAATAATGGCATACTATGTTTGGGTTGAACATATGCCTAGGTTGATAATAGCTAAGGGGTCTAACCATGTTAGTCCTATTTTGAGAAAAGGATGGTTTATGCATGTTTTCAAAAGGATCATTTCTAGGTGTTCTCATATTGTCTCTTCTATTTTGAGAAAAATTATTTTATGCACAAAATCATTTTGATAATTTTTCTTAGGTTGTCTACCATGAACGTTTTCATTCCTAGGTTTTTGTCTAGGTTGTCTAGTATTCTTAGATTGACTAGGTTTTCTATTAACTTGATTTTTAGCTTTCTTACGTTGAGCCTTAGGAGGTTGTCTAGGTGTTTGCTCAATGTTTTCTTTATCCTTAGCTTCTTTTTTATTAAAACCTATTCCTTCTTTAGAAAAGTGCATAGTGTCAAGGAGTAAATTAAGATCTTTGTGTGGAGTATTAAATTTCTTAACTGTACTCTCAAGTTTTGTGACTTGTTCTTTCAAAGCTATGCA